TTTAATGATGCAAAAAACCAAATAAAAAACTTGGATTGAAAGTTTCGACGTATAAATTTGAAACCGCAATACATTTAAAGTATTTAGTAATCAAGATTTATGATACATAACATGCAGAAATATCTTCACTGTATTTACTCGATATATATGAGGAATAACAACCACTATTTTGAAAATAGTAAAAGGCAGACCGCTTACGTAATGTCGCAACTATTTTACTGTATTAAATCTGAACTTTACGTTGTTTTTTGCAGAGCAGTAAAAACACCTAATTATAGTAGTTGGTTTGCTTACCACTGCGAAATTGATTGGTTTAATCGTAGATTCGATTGATACTACAACTTTCAAATGAACATAAAATACCTACTTGAGCTAACATGAGGAATCTAGATATTATAGTGCTGAGTTTTACATTATAAAAAGCTAATTAGTTTGAATAAGCAGTTAAACATATGCGCTTATTTTATGAAGTAATATAAACACTATAAAAATAAATAACAAAAATCCAGCTCACCCAGTATTTTATACATTTTTTACCAACATTCAAATTCTGGCATCCCATTCCATATACAACTAAAACCGCGCACATTTTCAATGCTACGCTACAAGTTACCGAGACCATCAAAGGTACGGAGAACAAAACCAAATTTCTACTGCAGAAAGTTTAGTTATTTTAACGGTTACACGCTCGGTCGCCGCATTTAACCGGGCACAAAAATAATCTATTATTGAATGTCTCAACAACAGTCATAGATTGCTCTCTGTTAACTAAATTTTCTACCTTATTTATTGTAGTTACTAATGCACTGTATATAAATAACATGGCTCAATAGCACCTCCCGCTCTCGCCATCTAAATTTTGCCCAACAAACTGCACTAGAGGAATATCACATGTTGTGTGAGTAAAACAATAAATAGTATTGATCATGGCAATCTGTATACAGTTTCAATGAACTATCAATATGCTATTCTGTTATACGACATATCGGCTTGAGCGTTGGGTGTATTTACGTGGGTAGTTAAAAAGTTTTGCGCGTAGATATTTATTTTCAGAAATTTTATAATAGGTATCAATATAACTATTTTATTTTCTCAAAGTAATCTGCAGACAATTTTGCTAACTCTGAAAAAACTTCTCATAGTTTTTTTTGATAGTTTCAGCAACTGCCTGAACACTTGCTCTTATCGAATTATTTCTCCCTCAATTGTTTTTTTATTCGAGGGAATAAGAAAAAAAATACGGTCTCGACTATAAGGTATAAATAGGAAATAAGTTTTATTCGTTCGGTATTAAAATACTCCGTCATGACCGTTGCCTCATGTAGTGCAGCATTGCCGTACGTCACAAACAGTTGTTCGTCCCTTTCTTCTGGAGGCTCAGCTCACTATGCAAAATGTAAAAAATTTTTTCAGGAAAAATACTGGTTTGTTGGTTAAAATGTTAATAGAAATATGCGGATTATTACTAACAAAATTCTCAACATTGGAAATCTTTTCTGACGTTACTACTTTCAGAATGAGCCTGTCTTCTTTAATTTTTTTTATTCGTGCTTGAATGTAACAATCCAACGTCTAATTGCGATGGTGGACAATATTTGTTCCCTTTCTACATTTGCCAACTTTTCGTGATTTGAGTTGCATTTCTGCTATTTTTCTAAGAAGCAAAAATACAGTGTCGTTAATTTTTATGGCTTGTTTTTTTTCCAAAAAAAAAAAAAAAAGGGGGTGGTTTCGACAACGAAATAATAAATTTGCCTCTGCTTTGTTTTCATATGTTACATGAAAGTATGCACACTTATGATTGCTCCAATCTTTAGTTTATCTCAGTTAGAGAGCCACACGCAAAACTTTTTAACCCCCCACGTAATTTTAGCTACCAAGTAATAACGCAGTGCAGCAACTCATTCCAAAAAAAATGTTATAATAATATGATTTTCGCCTTGTCTTTAGTATAGAATTCAAACGCTTGGAGGATAAAGGTTATTACAATCTTCAAATTTAGATTAGAATTGGAACCAACGACGCGCAATTACGTAATTGAATGCTAATTTTTTTTTACCCATACGCCAAAATCAATAAGGAAATAATCATAATGAAAATCGTGTAACGAATGCAGTGATAATATGTAATGTATTGTTTCTAGCACCAAATAAAGTTAAATCTATCATTCTATCGTATTACAAATCATTGTATTACATTACATCCGTTGATCCCAATCACCTTTTGGAAAAAACTCGATTTCTCTTTGCTGCGCACTTTAACTGCGCGTCTGTATTTCTACGTTAATATAAAGAGGCAGTGCTTTGCGGGAATGAAAAGCAACATTTTCTCTCCAAAACGAAAAATTTTCATACAATCGAAATGGTATGCTATGGATTGGCCTATCTCGTTCCCGAATTAAACACGCCAAAACCCGTTCCTTTGCAGAACGTAAGCGTTGAGGCAAATGGTAATTACAAAAGAGTAAAGATTGTCATCATTTTGCCTTCTTCGACGTAGCTAACATTGATTCATTCTGTAGTCGTTGACATGATTGCTGAAGGTAAAGACCTATCATCGAATATTTTGTCAATTTCACAATATACTTAATCATTCTCCTTGGATTGAATTCCTTCAGTCACCGTCACTCAAACTTACAAGAATGAAGAATCAGTGACAATTGAAGCAATCTACAAATTCCCAATTCATGAAGCTGCAGCAATTTGTGCCTTTGAAGCTGAAATCGATGGTAATCGGACAGTAAAGGGTATTGTCAAAGAGGCCCAACAGGCTGCTAAAGAGTACGATGAAGCGGTTCAGGTTTGCATCAATGGATAACCGAGAAATTATTGAGCCGTTACTGTGTGTTTATTAGCTTCATTTACTGAGACCACTTTTTTTCACCTTTTTCTAAGAGTGGCCTTGGCGCGTACCTTCTTGAAGAAGAACTTCCGGATGTCTTCCAATGCTCCGTTGGCAACGTTACACCAAATCAGACTGTCAAAATTCGCATAACTTACGTAACAGAGCTTAAACAAGATTCTGATTCCGACCAAGTTCGCTTTGTCATTCCCACCGCTGTTGCACCTCGCTATGGTGATCCGCAGAACAACTCGTCTCAAGCGGGGACGAAAGTGATTAAGGGCAATCCGACGTACTCGAGCCAAACGCAATATACATTGGACGTGAATGTTACATGTCGTATGACAGCCAGTTTGTTGAGTGTCGAGTCACCCACGCACAAGATTAAAACTGAAATTAATTTGAATGGAGATCCAAAGACTTGCAGAGTTGGGCTGGCAGAAGATAAAACTCACTTGGAGAAGGATTTTGTGCTAGTTGTTAAGAGTAAGGATTTGGACAAATCTAGGTATGGATCAAGTATGTGGGAAATAGTTATAGGAATTGGGTGATGGTAATGACTAATGTTTGCTAAAATCGATGTTCATGTATTTTCTTTGCATCTTCTTTGTATAGAGCATTCACTGAATACAATCCAAAGACCAATACGAACTGTACCATGCTGACTCTTGTTCCTACGTTTGAACTTGAATCGGTGCAGACAGAAATGATTTTTGTCGTCGACAGGTAAATCGTTTAGATGCTGTTTTCACGCTTTTTTACGAACTTGTGTACACAGCGTTTAGTGGCAACTTTATTCATTCGCCAATATTGAATTTTATTTGTTCCAGATCCGGTTCGATGGGTGGTTCCCCGATAAATAAAGCTCGACAAACGCTCGAATTAATAATCCGCTCTTTGCCATCCAACTGTTTTTTCAATGTGGTCTCGTTTGGCTCGTCTTATTCAGCCTTGTTCGAAACATCTGTTCCTTACTCAGAATCCTCCTACGACGCGGCCATTCAACATGCTCGGGGAATGGAGGCCAACTTTGGTGGTACTGAACTCTTGTCGGTTCTAAGATGGGTTTTGGAAAATAAGAACAAAGAACTGCCGACTGCTGTGTTTTTATTGACCGACGGTGAGGTCTGGAACGTGGATGAGATTATTCAACTGATCGAAAGTAAAGTGAAGGAAGCCAAAGACGATTTGAGATTGTTTTCGCTGGGTATTGGAAGCTCGGTCAGTCATCATTTAGTGGAATCAGTCGCGAGGGCCGGAAAGGGATATGCCCAGTTCGTCAGCGGTGAAGAGAGGATGGACAAGAAGGTTGCTGGGATGGTCAAGAACGCTATTCGACCGCCATTGACTGATTACAAAATTTCCTGGATCGACACTGATAGTGGTGATGGGGGTGCTGTAAAGCACCGTCAAGCACCATACATAATTCCACCATTATATCAAGGCGTTCGCTGTGTCGTCTATGCGCTCTTTGCACCGGACGTTGAACCTGCACGGAATATCACAATGACAATGCAATCTCGCAGTGGGCCCGTAGGCGTCACTGTGCCAGTTGATCCAGTTATTCTCGATGGAAACAAGATTCATACTCTAGCTGCCAGAAAGTTAATACAGGATCTTGAGGATAAGAAAAGTTACCTACATAACGATCCGAAAAATGAGGGAAAAGAAATATCAGCTGAAGATGTAAAGAATGCAATCATTCAGCTTGCGACCAATGCTAATTTAGCCTCAAGATATACAAGGTAAAGATTGCTGGATGGTAAACGAGAATGGTTGTTAAGTGTTAGCTCGATTCTAATTATCTTGAGTTATTTATTAAAGTTTTCTGGCAATCGATCAAAGAGACCAAGTCGTATCGACAGTTGAAATTCAAAAGCGCATTGTCCCTGTGCAGACAAGCGCGCAGGTAGGCTTGCGTACCAGCGTTAGGCGCAAGTACAGGGTTCGTTAAATTAAAGCTTGAAAAAAAAAAAAAAAACTGGGAAAGCTTGCTTTTACATTCTTTTTGGATAAATATGACGCATCTATTAACACAGATATTTTTGCAGGGTCGCGCTCTTGCTACGAAAGCTGCACGCAAAAGTAGCCCTTCTACTGGGGCCGTCTCATCAATTGTGAGATATAGAGAACGTTCAACCTCGCCTACCAATGATTTTATGGAGATTGATGTTAGATCAGTTGATTTTGATCCGAAATTGGCCGAAATTGGAATTCTTTACAAGTTTATCAGTTTTCAATCTTTTGATGGATTTTTCAAACCGACTGCAGAGTTATCGGAATTCTTTTCAAAGGGAAATGACAAGAATTTATTTCAAAATAAGGATCAAGATTCTGTCTGGTCTACTTGTATTGCTTTGGCTTATCTTGAGAGTGTAATGAAAGCTTTCACGGAAGAGTGGGAATTGTGTCATGAAAAAGCTCAGACTGCATTAAATGAATCGAGTGGGTACGATTCTGGCGTTATCGAGAAAATGCTGCAAGATGCGAGAAAGTGGGTTACTGAGTGGCTTGCTTAATTATTATTAAAGCGGATAAGAAAATGCGTTTGTGTTAACTCTGATAGCTAGCATGAAGACGAATAACTGTCTATTGTTATAGTTTTGGTAAATTAAGTGAATAATAAAATTTATATGGTGTGCGGATTGCCACCCACTTGGTGTGAATGATAATGTCTGAAATTAGCATGGTCAATTTCCGCAGATGCTAGATCTGATGTTTATACAAATAAGGAAGCTACGACAAAGTTGATAAAACAAGAAGCATATAGTGAAGTCGAGTCATACGTGCAAAAATATAGGTCGGTCTCACTAGCTCGTCGCCCCTAACAGATTTGGAAATCGGAAAATTTTGGAACGATGGGTGCTCACTAGCTATTGCCAA